CCGTACGTAATTAAGTAACTTTTTTGCTTATAAGGATAGGGGTTGGGGTCTCCTACTAAACATTTCTTGCAACCATACAAGGGCCACTCTTGACGTATTGGATGTAGCCCTATCATACTGGAACCAGGCCTCGACAACATAACACCTTAAACTCACTAAACTTCTCCAAAGCTTTCTCAGCGTTGAGACATCTATCTAATGTGATTAGTACAAGTTTTACCGTCCTCTTTCTAAAGCCAGAACGGGTCGATCACGCTCCCAGTCAAAGCTTTTAATGTGTAAACTTTTGCCTTTTACTCAATGTTTGGTTGAAATTCTCAAATCTGTATATTCATCTCGGACAAATTGATCGATTTTCGCCATTATATCAACACACTTACCCCCCCTCCCCCCCCCTTTACTTTCCCGGTTGAATTTTATATATTTGGAGTTTTGATGAAATTAGTGCAGAGATGACCGATGAGTTGTCTTAAGTAGTGGGTCAGGTTTTTTTTTTTTTAGACACTCTGTAGGCCTACGTGACATTGTATATCTAAATGTAATACTTAATTAATCATGTCAAGCGCAGACTTTCAGCTCCGAACAATAAAATTAATGCTGAATGAGAACACCCCCCCCCCCCAATTTCCCCTTATAAAGAAATTTAAAAAAAAACACCTTTGGGCACTCATTCTGCCTGGAAAGTATATTTTTTTTTACAACAGCTCAAATGCATTCTTAAAGATGTTTATCCCAGAACTATTTTCACATGGTTTTCAATGAGTTTTATGAACTTCACACTTTCTGAAACAGTATAATGTGCATTGACCAGTGTCTGTAATGTAGCGATCAAGCACTTCGCCTTTGTACAAAGGAGGCGTGAGTTCGTTTCCGGAGTGAAAGGAATTTTTATCGAGTATAGCCGCCTCTCTACTCTGCCCTGACGTTGGGTGCGTCTCAGAGCTGGTGGCTCTGGAGCCAGGATCGAAGCAGACGCTGGCGATCATTCATAATATAAGCTTAATTAGCAACTCATTTCTCTGCGAGAAGGGTTAAAAAATACACCTACATCTATTATATTCTCCCGTCGGCGAAACGTTCAAGTTCCCCAAATAAGTTACTCATAGTTCATCTCTGCATCTTTCGTCTTCTTTGTTTTCAGTAGGAGCAAGAGAAATTCGAACATTATGTAATAATTCAGTGTATTTCCTCGTTTTCAGTGAGGCAGCCATTGATGCCATGGCTGACATTTTCTCCGGACAAGGACCCTTTCAGTAACATAGAGGTCATCAATCAAATGTTTACTGAAGACCAGGACATCCACGTGATGTATGCACGGCATTCACTCTATACATTATTGTCTTGTACATATTATTTGGACCAAATTTGGGTTGGACAAAAATAAATATGATGATGCATTAAAAGTCCGTTACTAGAAGAAAAAGAAAAAGGAGAGAGAGAGAGAGAGAGAGAGAGAGAGAGAGAGAGAGAGAGAGAGAGAGAGAGAGAGAGAGAGAGAGAGAGATGTGCCTATATATATATATTTATGTGTGTGTGTGTGTGTATGTGTGTGTGTGTGTGTGTGTGCGCGCGCGCGCGCACGCGAACCTGTGCGCCCAGTCATGTATTGTATTCGAGGAAAGATGTCATCCTGTGTGTGTTTGTACTGTGTGTGAATTGTGCGTGGGTAATTTATTCGCTCATATGTGGGTGTAGGCCTGCCTATTCATTGTCCATTTGATACATTTCATTCACCTGATACAGTTGGGATTCACCAGATTTTCTTCATGAATTATGATCAAACCGATATTTTAACACATTGGAGGACTCATCGATCGAAATTTCTTAAAAATCAAACGTGTTTGTTTATATCTAGGTCATGCGTTTGATGGGGTAGTCTGTGTTCTCGGAACAGCCAGGCTACCAACCCACATTGTTTGTAATTTAACCCTATCCGTACGCCCTGGGGTCATTTTGTACCCCCGGGTTGTATTCTTCACATTTTGAAATACTAGTGCGAAGATCTCATAGAAACTTTCAGCATTTCTCGAAAAATCATTTTGACATTTGACAGACTGCTATGGAAAGCGTACGGATCGATTAAAGAGTAAATTTCCCCTTTGGAACGTGGTGGCACAGAGTTCCCTACGTTGTATGGATACGATAGTAAAACACGACGTACGGATGGGGTTAATTTACCAGTCACATGGCAAAGTCAGATTTTTTGTTCGCACGCGGAATGCTATAACACTTGGACTGTGTTGCTCTCAAGAGGTGTTAGAGAGTTGTCAAAATTTCCTCTGTTCGATGGGATGCAAGAACCTTTCAATATAGCAATCACTAATGCAGCAGTCTGCACTTGAACCCAGTTTGAAAAGAACTGCAATGACTGTGTTTATCAACGGTGAGTTTTCAATAGGCTACAAAAACGCCGCATGTGGTGCCAGATATGACCTCTGTGCAAAATTGTTCCGTCTTTATAATCCAAGTTTTCTCTGCTTCAACGTTTGGAAAAAAATTAGTTAGGCTAATGAAGCAAGGCAGGGGTCTTGGGAGTGTGCACTGTCGACCAGGTTTATTCCTGCCAAAAGACATCCTGCATATTATATTTAATACAGGCATTGTTTTTTGCTCTCATATCCACCCTTGCTGCCTCCTCATGTTATTACAGCTCTCTCTGTTTTTATAGTAGTATTAGTTATCAAAACCCATCTGACACAGGACCATTTTATGTTGTTGATTTTTTCCCAACAAAACAGATGCCGAGGCTCCTTCGTCGTAGGAATAGACAGTTGGATGAGATCGTACATTAAAGACCTTCCAATTCCTGGCAGAACATTCAGCTTTTTCCTAAATGGCAAGCTGGTCGCCTCTGGAGATAAAGACGGTCAACGGCATTTTGGAACTCTAGCAAAAGGAGCATACAACTATACATGTGTTGTAAATGACAGGGTCGGGAATTCTTCAATGAGCTGGCCTCTTCTAGTAGACATAAGAGGTATGCATTTTACTGCAAATCGTTTGATTATTTAGGAGTCTGGCTGCTTTGAACGTTGTTTCTCAATTGATGATAACAGTACCTCTGCCCAAAAATTGACGAGCGCCCGATTCCACTGCATCGCTGCAGAAATAATATATTCCCATCTCAAACCCCCCTCCCCTCCTAACTTTTTCTGCCATTTCCGCCCCTCCCCC